GACCCCAGCCTGATGGAATGGCTGATGGTCGTGATTCCCTTTGGTATGCCGCACTATCACTTTTCTAATGTATTTGGCCGGACCTGGGCGTTTCAATAGCAACTACTTTTCTGTTTATTGTTTTTTTTTTTTGGGCTGGGGCCCTCCCTGGTCCTTGCACGGCCGGGGCGCCCGGGAGAATAGGGTCTGTCTCTTATACACATCTAGATGTGTATAAGAGACAGGATTTCCTTCGGTATGCTGCACTAGTACTTTGAATTTCGGAATGTATCTGGCCGGACCTGGACGTATCTATCTGCAATTCCGACCGGAAGCAGTGTAGAAATTCCCAGCTAACTAACCCCAGTTGGATTTACTTTGAAGTTTGAACAGCTGATCGTCATTCCCTTTGGTATGCGAAGAGCAGTTGTAAGGGGATAGTCACTCGAGTGACACGAACAATTGTTTCCCAGATGGATCTGGAAACAATTTTGGCTGGTCATGGATGTATCCGACTCTTCTGCTGTAGTGACCAAAATCAGTAGAAAAGATCTTATGGGTAGTGTGAGTATGGGCTGACAGGTAGCGGGTGGTAGCGTACAGTAGTAGGGAAGTAGGGTGCAGCCTTGGAGCTGCTGGGAGCCTGGGTCTCACAGAAAGGTCCGCAGGCGTTTGCCTGTAAGCTAAGCTGGATGATGCTTCCAGATATTTTCCGGGTGTACTGTTGTGGTTCCCGCCCTTGTGTCTTGTTTTGAAATGGAAATCGAGTGCTGATTAAAAAAAGAAACAAGTGCGATAGCTGCACACTTTCAAACTGTAAAGGCAAAAAAAACACTTATGGGCAAAGGAAAAATGGCCGCAGTTCGAAAAGGCAGTCATAACATCAGAAGGCGGTTACATCAGGCCCCGAGTTTGAAAAGGGCGGTTGTAGCACCCTTTTTTTTTTTCTTTTTTTTCGACGATCGCGCGTCGCGCTTCATGCCGCGTTTTTTTTTTTTTTTTTTTTTTTTTTCCGGATGCGCATCGCACCGCGCCGCGCCGTGGCTGAAAAAAAAAAAAAGGAAAAAAGAAGAAGAAGAAAAAAAAATGCCCCATGGTTGGGCCATGGCCGAGATGTCTCGGGCACACCCCAAATTGGGGTATGGCCGAGATGTCTCGGCCACACCCCAAATTGGCCACGGGCGACATGTCTCGGCCACACCCCAGATTGGCCACGGCCACGAAAAAAAAAAAAAAAAAAAAAGGGAAGTGTGCTACAACCGCCCTTTTCAAACTCGGGGCCTGATGTTACCGCCTTCTGATGTTATGACTGCCTTTTCGAACTACGGCCATTTTTTCGTTGCCCATTATTGTTTTTTTTGCCCTTTTGAACTTCGTTTGTGACACAAACGTACTTGCCCCTTAAAAAAAAGAACGCTCTATGGTATCCAGGGGCCATGTCCCACTAGTGGAAGTGTACTTTTGGTTTCTAGACCTGTGTGGCAGAGTGCAGCGGTTATGTGGGTAAACAAACAAAAAAAAAAAAGTGAAATAGTGCTGACTCAGAGGTAATCATGAAAGCAGACGTTCTAGCAGGGGACCTGAGGACCATAGCCAATGTAGAATGACCAGACTCAGCGCTCTCACAACTGGCCCCTATGTCAGTCGTCTCTCTTTAGTAGTTGTCATCTACTCACCTTTCTAACAGGGGCAATTTATTGCATCTGAGAGGAACTGTCTCATGGCCACACTTGGCACTCTCACAAGTGGCCACTAGTGGAAGTTTACTTCTGGTTTCTAGACCTAATTGGGTGAAGAGGAAGGGACGCTGAATCCTCCTTCCTCCTTCAAGGAGGATTGACTGTGAGGTACCAGGGGACCTAAAGGATCACAGCCAATCTAGAACGGCACACTCAGCGCTCTCATAAATGGCCCCTATGCCAGTCATCTCTATTCAGTGTTCATGGTTTAGACAGAGACAATGAAGCCACCAGCACCTACCGCATTTTTCGTAACCCCCGGCCTCGAATGAGTTTGGACTGGAGGGGCAGGCCGATTCGGCTTCCACGTTAAACCACCAGTACTTGGCCCAGCTATCAGCCACGGAAAAAAATAGAGTAGAAGCATTTCTAGTTGGATGAATTTGGGCGCTCCTATAGTGGCCCGTGCGTTTCCTAAAATCGTGGCGCATTAACGGGCACGACTTTAGGAAGTACTGGTGCTTTAACGGAGGCCCCAACCGGTAGGGTGGTTTAATTGCATCTGAGAGGAACAGGTGAAGACTCTGAAGAGGAAGTGAAGCTGACATTGTCAATCGATCCTCCTTCCAAGGAGTAGTAATCAATGCTGGTGAGGGATGCTTCGGCCAAAAGGAACTTGAAGTTCAAGGATGTCAGTATACATATGAATCACTGACAGATGTAATTCTTGACTTGCTGGCCTATGCCCTAGGGAATGGGAACCGCACTGGAATACCTCAGGATAAACAGCATTAAACACCCATGCAAACGACTTCATAGACAAGGAGCGAGGGCCATGTGAACCTTCTTTAAAAAAAGAAAGAAACAATACTGACACAGCAAGTTTTGAGTTCGCTAAGGCAGAAAAAACATGTGACGGCAAAGATATCACGGTGCAAGTTTGGAACGGCAATTTCGGTAGATAAGGATCTGTTGGGCGATCGCCGGCCCCTGAGTTATGACACCCGTGCCTCTGTCATGGCCACAGTGCTTTCATAGCTTTCCTCAACGCGGCGGCTGTCTTTTTTTTTTTTTTTTTTTTTAACCAAATTCGTTATATTCAGAAAAATTGTCCGATTGAGTCCGGGGACCTCACAATTCAACCCGGAGTTATCCCGGCAGGATCAGCCGGTTTAGCTTCGAGTAACTGTTCCAAACTGCAGAGTACTAGACTAAGTGCTTCACTTCAAGTAGTATTTAACTGTCCTGCCAGGTGCCAACCTATCGTGGTTGGTGGAACCAACAGTTCCAAGTAACCTTGACACTCTCCTTCCCTCCTTCCTTAGGTGGTCTACAGCGACCCACACTTACAACCGAGTGTCCTGGTTGTAACAAAAGTACCACAAGGCCTGAACTCCACACAAACCAGAAAGAGACTTCAGTATCCTTTCTCCCTCCCGCTCCTACTACCTTCATAACCGGTTCTCTGTCTACCCTATCCTACCCTTGCCTGTTTCCTACTAAAACCCCCTACTTCTGTAACCAGTCTGAGATCTGCAAGCTGCCCTGAGGAGAGATCTTTCCCAAGGGCCCCCGAATGGCCCATGTCTTGAGGGACCATTCTTTGTTCCGCTGTCCATTCCTCCAACCCACTTTCCTGTACCAATCTGCTTTGAGCTGGGATTTGATCAGGTTCCTGAAAGTTTTTTCAGCCTGCTTCTCACTCAATGGCTCACCCCGAAAACGCCTTGCGTTTCTGTCAGACCAAATCACCCACAACATGCAGCCCGAGCCACTTGTGCAACATACTCCCACCCCTGTTTCCCATGGGACGGGTTCGGTAGTGATCCTTGCAGAGCCCATCTTTTTCCGGTCAGGTCTGTCCTCCCGTAGAAGCTCACCCACCACTTCTCCCACCATTTCCACCATTTGTTAGAGATGGGGCAGTCCCACCAGAGGTGGGTGGTGGTGTCAAGTTGGTTTCCACATCTGTCACATTGTGGCTGGACGTCCTTTCTTTTCTCTAGTAACCAGGCTGAAGAAGGAACCGCCAGCTGTGACTGTAGCCACAGAAGTGAAGCTATCTTCTGAGAGGGGAGCACTTTTAGCTGTTTCCACAGTCCCTCCAGCTCTTCTTCCGAAGGAGGTTCCATATCCGGGTTTTGTCTGTGCCACTGAGCCCGGGCGGTGGCTGTTTTCTTTGTGGGTGCATGTTTTTTTTTTTGTTTTTTTTTTTCCCGCTCATTCAGAACGCGACAGTGACATCAACGTACTTGCCCCACGAAAAGAAAAGCTTCAAACCACATCTGGCGTGCACTTTAGGGCTGCACTGTCACCTGACATTGCATCCTTTCGCTGCAGGGTTGGTTGTTTGTGTCTGGCTCGTACCCTCCGTCCACACCCTGCCATTTTGACTCTGGCAACGTGAAGGCTGGCAGCTGCATCATTTTGTTTTTCGCAAAATGCCTGCCATTCTGCATGAACCTGGATGTCCACGAGGTTTTGCTTTCTACCTGCACACCCATCAATGCGAAAGGCCGGCGGCCGCATCATTTTGTTTTTCACAAAATGCCCGCCATTCTGCATGACCCTTGGATGTCCAAGGGGTTCATACCGCACACCGTGCAAGATATGAAGGCCAACCAACATTGTTAGCCAAATGCAGATGATTGCAAAAGATGGTACTATACCAATGGCACGGCACCACTTTGTTCAGCCCATGCTTCTTATTACAAAGTTATTTGGTTATTACCCAACGAACCCCACTAATTTTGCTGACCCTGCAATTAAAATGGATTCAATGGCCCAATTGACTGTTGCGCAGTGTGGTGTGACCTTATCCTACTCTAGCACTAAGTGGGTCATGGACCCAGGATTGAGCAGACGTCAGGGGATAAGTCCCACTAGCAGGGGTTTCAATCTTCCTTTCGTTTTTCAATGTGGCCAGGGTGCTGCTGTGAGATGCTCAGATCGGATGGCAGGAACCGTCGCATACTTAAAACCAAGTCTAAACTCCCACTAGCGGGAGTTTAGCCCTGGGTCACACTTTCCCCCACGTCTGCAGGACAGTCAAAAAATGCCCCCCCCCCCCCCCCCCTCCCTCTTCTCTCTCTTTGTGAGGAACTGACCAGAGAACGCCACCTGTCTACGTATGGAGTTCATCAGAGCACAGCCCAAAACATTTTGTGTTTGTTTAGTGCCTGCCTTTTGAATTTGAATATTTTCTGTGTTTTCTAATTCTGCTTTCATTTTTGTGAACTCCTTTCCATTATGTGCTGACCACATTTCATGTTTGGTTTGTGGTTTCCTGTAATTTTCTTCTTCTCTTACTGACAAAAGAAATTGTTCAACTGATCAATGCAGGCTGAGAGCGCGATGATCAGGCGAAGGTCTGGGAGGAAGAACTGGAAGCCTGTGGAGCCGATGGTCACGGACAGTCCAATAATAGGGGTTCTGACGCTTCCTGTCACTGCGCAACATTTTCTGAAACATGGGCAGCAGTATTTTGCAGCCTCATATGCAAGATGGATGGAAGCAGGTGGAGCTAGAGTTGTTCCCATCTTCTTTGATTCCACTCCAGAGGAGCTTGACTACCTGCTTCACAGGTAGGTGTGTGTGTGTGTGTGTGTGTGTGTGTGTGTGTGTGTGTGTGTGTGTGTGTGAGAGAGAGAGGGAGAATTTTTGTTTAATTTTTCTCTAGCTAGTGAGCCTGTGGCCTTTGCTTTTGTCCGAGTATATTAGATTGCTTTGGCTTTGAGAGATTGATCATCAAAAGCTCTGGGGGATAAAAAAAGGAAATTCATAAGGACTTTGTCCACTCGAGCACACACACACACACACGCACACACACACAGTGAATATGACAACACACACACAGATAGATAGATAGATAGATAGATAGATAGATAGATAGATAGAGAGAGAGAGAGAGAGAGAGAGAGAGAGAGGCCTGGAAATTCTGACGAACATGATGATGATGATGTTGTTGATCTTGTCTTGAATTGTATCGAAGATTGTCTGCTTGAAAATATCCAGTTCTCAATATATCTCCTTCCGCGGGGGAAGGAATATGTTTCCCTAACCGTGACTGCTATCTTGTGGACTATGAATCTCCTCGCAGTCGCCAGCCATGACCGGGCCAGGCAGGGCCTTCAGGGCTTTTCAGGGGGGGATTGCAGATTGGGGTTGCGCAACCCTGTCCTCACTTCATAGGGGGAAAGAAAAGTAAAAAAAAAATGTTTTGTTACGATCCTGGCCAATTTTTAAGTGCAAAATTCACGAGAAAGCACAATGCCGTCCAATTGCAAAAGAAGTGAAAGAACTTAAGAGGAAGCGGAGATGAAGAAGAAGTAGAAGAAAGAACGAAGACGAAGAAGATCGACACCAGCAAAAGACCAATGATAATCCCCCTCCTTCTTGCCGACCAAACTCCACCTTTTCTCCTCCGCTCTTATTCAGACAATAAAAGATGATAATAATGATGAATGGCAAAACCAGAATCAATGTATGAATCCAGAGGTCCACCATAGCCACGGCCTCCATCTTCTCCTCGACCAGGCCAAGGCTATGGCGGACTACTAAGGGCCTAGCCCTGCTGTCCAAAAGACAATGCAAAGCTATGTCCACTGCTGTTCGGGCCGCCATGCCTGACTCTGTCTTGTAGTTTGTAGTGCGGGTCAACACCACTGGGGCCTTCCAGATGCACCACCTATTAAGGTGGTGAAGATGGTGTCCAGCATAGCCAGGTAGGTACCTTGCCACTCTCCTCTCTAGTCCTCTTCTCCCTCCTCCTACCGGTAGAGCTCTACCATAGCCGAGGTGGAAGCTCCCAGCCTTCTTTCTCCTCGCAGCACTGTAATGCCCAGCGCTGTATGTCCTGGCAGCGCTCTGAAGTCCAGCACTTGCTCAGTATGTCCTAACCTTGCATACTGCAAATGAGGCAGATCCCAGCGCTCTACGCTACCAGCACGCGACTTTCATCATTCCGATCGGAATACAGAGATTGGAGATGAGCACGTTGAAGGTTGGTCACCAGAAAACTGGTTTCTTTCGGCTGACCAGAGAGAGTCGCGACCAACGCCCAGCGAATATGTCGACGAGGGCGCAGCACTTAGGGTGTCCTCTTACACACGGCGCACCATAACCAAATGGTTGCTTTCGCCAATGAAGGATATTTCGTGCAACACTGAAGATATGGCTGCCTACCTGCCTCTTGGGTGGTGACTTCTGGCCTCTAAGCAACCATTACCTCCTTCCTTTCGGAGGAAACATCATTGCGCGGCTCTGATATCGTCCGCACAGGCCCTAGACTCAGGGTACTTGGACTGGTGCCCGCCTAGACCTAGCCTACAAACTACTGGGCCTCTAAAAATGCCAACTTTTGTCTTCCTCTGCTTGGCCTCCAGTCCCCGACATCGCTACTTGTGGTACCGGCCTACCTGCTACTTGAGTGTTTTTCCTCGAGTGTTGTGGGCCCATTCCCGCTACTCGAGTCTTTTCCCCGTCTGTGGGCCCCCAAACCAACAAGTGCACTTGTGGGTCACACACACACTCAGACCGACAAGCACTCAGACAGGCATGCAGACCAGCGAGCACACACACACACAGACTTACTGCCAGGACGCAGGAATCTCAGCAAGGCATTCATTCCAGCGGCAAAACTTAGAAAGCATTTCTCAGTCTGCGTTTTGACGGGTCATTACAGGGTTGTTTTTTTTGGGTGTTTGCACTGTTTGGTGAAAAAAAAACAATGAATAACAAAAAGGAAGTAAAAAGAAAGTGATTGATTGATTGATTGATTGATTGGACAAAAAAAAAGGGAACTGCGGG